CCTTTACTGCTTTAATCATGGTTTCCTTTAGTTCTTTGGACATATTTTAAATAGTTTCTTTGAAGTCTTTGTTAAATCCAACATCTGGTGGCTCTCAGAGGCAGTTTCTGTTGCCTTCTTGGTGTACATGTGTTATACTTTTCTATTTCTTTGCATGGCTTGTAATTTCTGATTGGAACCTGGACAATTTATATATACTATTTTAGCAGCTGTAGGTAGTGGTCTTCTCTCACCCTTCCCAGGGCTTATTACTGTTGTTTGCCTATTTATTTAGTGATTGGGTGGATTATTTTAGTGAAGTCTATTTCTCTTTTGCAGGGTTAAGCATCTGGTGGTGTTTCGAGGGGGTGTAGATTTGGTTATGCCCACATGCACCCTGGGATGACAGTATTTTTGGCAGGACTCTCTTTCATTCTCTCTTTCCTTGACCACACCCACATGTTAAGTTCTACTAATTTCTAGCTGATTGCTTTCCTGTTTTCCTTAATGCCCTAGGACATAAATTGCTTCTCAGCTTGATCCAAAAAATTTTGACCTCACTTGTCGGGGACAGTTCTTGAGGTCAGAGCTTTGAAATTTGTTCTGACTCCAGGAGGGCTCATCCTAGCTGCTACTCCTTCATTCTCCTTTTTCTCTCCTGAAAACTAGCTCCTTTACAGTTCAACCTGTATCTGAATCTCCTCCCAGTTGCCTTTTATCACAGCCTTTTTGGTTTTTGAAGTTGCCCTTAGGCATGAACTTCACACTCTGTTTAATATTAAGTCTGTTCCTTTGGAAGAGATTTAGAGCTGTTTTAAGGCCTACTTCACCTTCCTGGCAACATCTCTGGCTCTGGAGTTAGATAGTGGGGATAGTGTTATGCTTTTCTCTTATTGTGACACCCCCAGTTTAGTAACTGAGCACTTCTTGGAAGGGTGTACAATAACCTCAGGTCTTCTTGTCTTGCCTTTCCTGGGGTGGAACCTCTGCTTTATGAAGTAGATAAGTGGAGCGCAGTCTAGATCCTAGGATTTTCAGCATACAGCAGCAACACAGGGCCTCTTTTCCATGAGTGGCATTTGGGTGAAAGAGGGGAGCCCCCATCCATTGGCTGCTCTTACTTAGGAGCACAGTTTTAGGTTGTGGAACTTAGCTTTGGCATCAGGTAGCTATAGGCAGGATGAGAAATGCTGACTGATGTCTTGTGCCCCTTCTGGCAAGGTAGTTCTCTGACTGGTAGCAGTGGTGACAGGGCACCCTGTGTTATTGACTGTACCAATCTGGAGTGAAGTTTCAGTTTCGCTGAGCTAAGAAGGGAGAGAGAAGGAGAGAAGAAACAGGTTTTGGTTTAAATACCATATAGTCTTGCTCTTTTTCCTGAATGTTAGTAGATTTTCTTGAATAAATGTTTCTTCAATTCCCTTATGCCCTTAGGATCATTTCCAGATACATTAAATAGCTGGTTTTAAATAATTTTCACCAGTTTTGCTGTGGAGTGGTTTCATGCAGTCCTTACACTCTCATGCTGAAAGTGGAACCCAGAGAGATCTTTTAAATATAAGTCAAGCCCTTGCCAGTCTGATGTTTAAACATGTCTGGTCCTCTTCATTTAGAACAACCAAAGTCGTTCTAGTGGCTTATGATGAATCCGTACAAGATCCTGGACCCCGACATCTCTGACCTTATCTCAAACTGTTCTTCCCCCTCCTTCCTTATTCCACTCGGAATTTCCTCCTCTTCAAACATTTCAAGCATGTTCTCTCCTTGGGGCCTTGCTACTGACTTCATGCTAGGTCTGTTAAGGTGTAGTTAAGGTGTTTGGAAGGGAGAGAGTTTATTTCAAAGCTTATTTTAAAAGCTTTTTTCAGTGGATTTACATAAAGGAAATTTCTCTACTTGAAATTTCGTTAAATTTTGTGTCTCAGCATTTTTCAAATGAGTAAATTGAATCCTAGAGCTTTTGACTGTCTTATCCAAAATCGTACAGCTACTTAGTAGAAGAGATGAGGCAGAAGTCAGCTCTTTTACTTTGTATTCCAGCATTCTAGCACATCAGACTTCCCTCCTACATCTTACCAGTTGTGTGATTACATTGGGCAACTGGCTTGCATGGCGTCTCTCCACAGTGCTAGAACTGTACAGAATGTACTTGGTTTTGTATTAACTGTCTTAAGGGATTTCTTGCTGTTTTGTCCTTTTTCCTCCCTTTCAACTGGAAGATTCATCCTCTTGCAAACTTTTTTAAAATTAAAAGACAGAACTAATCAAAATGCAGAACCTCAATATGTCATTTTTAGTTTATAATAACTTTCTAGAAAGCTTTTCAATTCATAAACCCTTTTGTATTGTTTTCTTTCCAGCATCCCATAAATTACTTCACTAAAACTTTAATAAGCTGTAGTTTTGAAAATAATGTCTTATTAATCGAAAGTATATTAGAAATATAGACAGCACTCCTTGATTATTTTAGTTTAGTTTTCTGTTGGTAGAACCAGTGTTTGAGAATGTATTTTCTACAGGTACAGTTTTTGGATATTCAGGCTGGAGGAGCCATTAGATCAGCTCTAAACCCTCATTTTACACATGAGAGAACTGACAGTGGCAAATCTGGGTCTGCAAACCAAGTGCCTGGATTGTTTATAAATACATAGCTCATTTTTCTTTTTAAAAATTTTATTTTGCAATGATTTTTCTTCTCATTGTTAACAAGTCACATTTAATTTTCCTAAATGAGAAAAAAATAATTTCCTCTTTTTTTTAAGTTGGCCATTTGAATTGCAAAAATAATGCTTATAACAATTCAGATAATTCACAATTTTCAAAAATAAAATTAATAGTCTACCTCTATTTTGTCTTTCGTTATACGGTAACACTTTGGTGTATAACCTTTTATATGCTTTTTTTTTTTTAGAGAAACAAATCAATATGTACACATATAGGGTTTATATAATTATATGAAATTGTATATTTATTATTCTCCAACTTGCTTTTGAAAATTAAAAAACACTATATAATAGACATCTTCTGATTCAACACACACATCTACCTTATGGCTATATCATTTTTTACTTAGAGTTCACAAATAATTGTTTGCAGTTTTCTATTTGTATGAACAGTGCTGCAAAACATAGCAAAGTGCTTGTTGTACACATGTAAGTATTTATGTAGGATAGATTCTTAGGGGTATAAGGAGTGGTTGAGAGCACAGATTCTGGAGCTAAGACTTCCTGGAATGCATTTAGGCTGCACCGCTTAATAGATGTGCACCTTAAGGGAAGATATTCTTTGTCCTCCCATTTCCTCTTTTCAGTGAGGAACTTAAATCAGTGATAATCTCTCTTTGTGGGGAGACTAATTTCTTTGACAGCCTGGTGGGGAAAAATGCTCTCACTGTTTACTACCTAAGGAAGTCGATCACGTTTTCATGTGCTGTAATCATTTATAATTCTTCTGTGAATTACTCATCATATTCTGTTTTCATTTTTTCTTTTGACTTATTTGCTTTTTCAAAATTGCTTTGTACGGTTTCTTTATATATTCTGGACACTATCTCTTTATTATATGTAGTGAATATATCCTTTACCCTGTTTCTTGCCTTTAATTTTGTTTGTTCCCGCCTCCCCTCCTCCCCCATATTGCTAAATCAGTTATGTTTCTTTTAGGGCTTCTGAATTTGTTTTTGCTTAGGAATACCTTCTGTATCCCAAGATTTGAAAAATTCTTTTTTCTTTTTCTAACACTTTATTAATTTCAATATATAGCTCTTTAGAAAGATCATTTGGAATTTATTTTGATTGCAGTGTGAGATATTTACTGTTTTTTTCTTAAAGTGGATCCACTGGTATGCTTTAATTGCTTATAAATTGGTCCATCCTTGCCATATTGATTTGTAATGTCACTTTTACCAAATATTAAATCTCATAAATTTATGGTTCTGTTTCTAGATTATTTAGTTTCTTTGATCTTTAGTCTATATTTGTATCAATATCAAATTATTTAAATTATTGTATCTTTGTATTACAGTGTAATATCTGACAGCTGAAATCCCCACAATTCCCCCTCCACCCTAGAAGTGTCAAAGCAATTCTCATGCATTTATTACTCTTTCATGTAAACTTCAGAATAATTTTGTCAAATTATTTTTTTAAAAACTAATTTTGATAGGGATTACACTGAGTTATATTTTGGAGGCTATCATTTTTTTTAAACCTAAAATAGTGACTCTAGCCTAAGGTTTTAATTTAACAGTGACTTTAACCTAAATTGTTACCTAAAAAGTTTCAACTCTCTATAATCTAAAAAAATAAATTATTTAATTTTTTAAAAGACTTTGGGATATAGAAGTCTACTTTTTCTCTTCCCCTTTCCTGTTTCTATAGGCTTTTGTAGCATCACCATAGGACTATTTTTGTTTAATATGTGCTTATTTTCCTGGAAGTTTTCATTGGCATATTAATATATATTTAATTGTAAACCATTAGGTTCTGTGGCATTTTTTTTTTTTTTTTCCAGCACTAGCCCATGTTTTCTTTGGTAACGGTTTTAATATTAGCATGTAATTGTAGATGACTGAAACCTCTGTTTTTCATTAGGTTTATTTTATAAATTGTGGTATGTTTTGGAATACTATCATACTCCTTTAGTAAAGTGTCATTATTATTGCTAGCTTATAGATCAAAGATAAGACAGATGAGAGTGTGTTTGAAGGTTGAAGATGCTTCTGTATGTTACATATTCCCCTAAAAAATGCTATGATTAGTACTAGGTTAATACTAAATGTTTTTATCTAGAAAAAGGAAGTCTTTTGTCTTTCTGTTGAATCCAAAAAGTTAATAATGCAAGGCTTTTTATCTTGACATGCAAAAAAATTCAGAATTCCATTCTGAAATCTGTTCTGAGATGATAGCAAAAATTGGTCTGATTAATGTTTTCAATTTTTTTGATGAAATGCTTTTTGATTGTTGAAAATGCCATTTTTTTTCTGCATTAGTAAACAGTATATTTTGTTTCTTGTCATGCAGGTCTTTGAAGTTCTACATTTTAATTCTCAGTGCTGAACTTCTTTCTCCCTTAAATTATTATAAACTTTTGCTGCTGTTTAATAAACGTGAAGATGTCTCGCAGTCCCGATGCGAAGGAAGACCCTGTGGAATGTCCTCTTTGCATGGAGCCCTTGGAGATAGATGATATCAATTTTTTCCCTTGCACCTGTGGCTACCAGATTTGCCGATTTTGTTGGCATCGAATCCGCACTGATGAAAATGGGCTTTGTCCTGCGTGTAGAAAGGTAAATACTCCAAAATAACTTTGTGTACAATGTTTTTTGCCCATGCACATGAGTAAGTAGATTTAAAAGACTCTGTAAATCTTAAGTGAGATTATGTGTAACATTTTATTTTGATATAATAAAGTGGAAAGAACACTGCCCGTAAGGAGTCATTGTCAAGAGTTCGCTTTGTTGTTGTTAACTAAGTATATGACCTTGGTGAAGTAACTTGCCCTTCAGTTTTCTTATCTGAGGAGATTAACATGGTCAATGGTGTTGGCTGTTTAAAAGGATTAGAAGTTGAGAGGCAAAGAATTTAGATAGGGTATACAATTAGAAAAACACATTCAGTATTACGTCTGGGGGGAGAAATTTACTTTAATTTTCTAGTACAAAGTAGAAGTTTTGATATTTGCTAAAACAGGTCATGAGTTAAAATGACAGAAATTCTGTTTCAAAAGGTAATAGTTACTCGTTTATTGAGTCCTTACAACAGTTCTAGGCTGATAACGCTGTCACCATTGTACACATAAGAGAACTGGACCTTTGAAGAAACTTGTCCACAGGCATCAACTAGTGAGTAGTAGGTTTGGGATTCAAATATGTTTTTTGAGTCCCTTCTAACTCAAAAAAAAGCTATGATTTTAAATATTTTCTGGATTTTGTTGTTTTGGTAAGCAGGTACAACAATTAGATATAGTGAATGACCTAGTAGGGTGAATAGGATTGCTGCATTTCTATTTTTAAAGGACTTTATTTGTGACTTTAAGGGCTTAATGCAAATATCTATCTTTTGCCTTTTCTTTAATGTCTGTGTGTATGATTTCAATCTTCTTTTTCATTTACCCATTTTAAGGAGCTCTTATGTTCATTACTTTCAAATTTTGAGAAAGTAGAAATGTATTTTAGATACCTAGATTACTTTTTAAAATTTTATCTTTCAACTTCCTTTCCAGAGGCAATTATATCTCATTGTTCAGTTTTTAAAAATCTAGTAGGCATATAATGTATAGTACATGAATGAATAATGGTTAGATCTACTTAAGCGTTAATTAATATAGTTTTTATATATAGTATATATGACATATAATAGATATTTATAATGCATATTTAATATATATATATTTTTAACTTTTTATATAGTTAATTCAGTTTAAAAATGTGAATGCAAATGTGTAAATGAAATCCTTAACATTAGGTTTGGTCACAATCGATAATAAATTTGAGTTAATGGATCTGAAACAGTAAGTCATGTTTTAAAAATTGGTTCCTGGTCATTCCATAAGAAGACAATCGTATTGAAGTATTTTGTTGAAAGTAGTGACTTTCAGGATAGCCCAAGAGTAAGGCTTGTGAATTTCATCGACTTCATGAAGTTTATCTCTTCTTTTTTTTTTCCTTTGGAGTGTTATGAAGTAGAGTCTTAATAAAAAGACCAATTGTTAAATTGTCATTAGAGAAAAATCATTTGGGGAAATGGCAAATTCATTTCAGTTTTAAGGGATTACCTAGAATCTCCTCAAATTCTTAGAACGTGGAGAAAAACAAAAAATTTAAAGATATAAACAAAACAAAATAACTTCAGCTAAGCTGTTTATCTGTAAAAGGGCTCCTTTCTGAGAGGACCAGAAGTTGTGAGGCATATGAAAGACAGAGGCCACTGGGTTCAATTTCAATAAAGAATCATTAGCTTAACAAACATATTCAGGAGACGACTGCTGAAAAAAAGGTAAGAATGGGTGCTTCCAGATCCAGAAAAAGTATCAGTTATGTAGCAGAGACAGATGCCCTCTAGCTGGAACATTGATTATAAGTTTGGATCAGAGCCCTAAGACGGAAACACCCTGGTGGAACTTGGACCTCCTGTGCTCAGAAGATGGACTACTGACTTGCCTCGTCCACCAGTTTGTCCTCTTTACAGTCAAGAAAAGAGCATCCTGCAGTAAACAGAAATACTATTTATATACCAATTGCAAGAACCAAGAATCAACAGACATTTTAGGAAAACTAAAATTATGAAAGAGAAGCACAAAATCAGTAAATAGAAGAACCTAACTAACGTAAGTAAGCAAACAGAAAAAAACTTTTAAAAGTGTCATTGGTACTTCTCAGAGAGGTAAGGGAGAATGACATAGTCATGTAGAAAGAACATTTTTTAAAAAGAGTAAGTTAGAAGTCTTGAAAATGAACAGTCTCATAGATGGGCTGAAGAACAGAATGCTCATATTTCAAGAGCAAATTAGTAAGTTGGAAGATTGTGCTGAGTATTTTTGTTGCAAGATATATTGCAAAAAAAGAAATTAGAAAGCATGAAAGAAAAGTTAAGCAACATAAAAGATGGATCTCCTGGTCTTCTAAGAGAAGTTTTAGAAGCAGTGAACTAAGGATGGGTGGAAAGAAATAGTCAAAAATCTAACAGAAGAAAATTTTTCATAATGAAAAGTAGTTGTGCTCAGGACTCTGAGTAGGAAGCAGGATGACTGAAAAAGATCAATATTTATATAATTGTGAAATTTTAGTGGAAACTACCTAAGGATTCCTCTATGTAGATTTTTGGAATTCTTTTTGTACTAGTTGTCTTTGTGGTATTTCACCCCATAAATTTCAGTTGCCTCCGTCTCTTCAAAGTTTGATCACTGTCCCTTCCACTCACTGTGACTGTTGGACCTACCTAGTGCCAGTATCCAATAAGTGCCCAAAGAGCAGAAAGCTTGGACACTTACAGTTTTCTTCTGTCTTATTTCTTTTTTTTTCAAAGGTCGCAGACCTCTTAATTGCCTTTTGTTCAGTGTCTAAAAACATTTATATGTTTTGTCTAGTTTTCTAGTTGTTTATGCTGGTAGGCCTGCCTAGTCTATTACCATCTACTCTGTCATGGCTTGAGGTGGAAGTGTATAAGTAATATTTGAACTTTATAATAATGTAATCGTGAATTGTCCTAACCAAAATTAGGGTGGGAGGTTAGAAGGTGAACTTGGAATATTTGGTTAGGCTGGCTAAATAACTTTAAATCTTAACTTGCATAATGTGATAATATCTAAAACTGAAAAATCAAGAAGTAGTAATACAGGCATGTTATTTAATGATACAATAGTAAATAACAAAATAATTTAAGAGAGTCAACAGATTATTTGTAGAGAGAGGCAACTAGTGCTGGGGAGGAAGGAAATGGAGGACTGCTCTTTTTCTTAATAAACTTTATAGCACCGTGACTAGGAACATATATAAGAAAAATATCAGTGAAACTAGGGAAAAAAGGTATGATAAGAAAATGGAAATATAGGAAAGAAGGTATAGTACTGATATTACTCATAATCAAATTTAAAATTAAACACATTTTAAAAGGTCAAAGAGGACTTTTTCTTACTGATAAAAAGTTTCTAAAGTCATGAAACTAATTAACAGCAGATCTTTGAAATATATTGAGCTGATATAAATATTAGAAACACTGCGTTTACATTCATAATGAAGAGACTTCTAACTTCTGTATTTTAGAAATGGACAGATGAAAGAGACAATAAAAAGGAAATGGAAATTTGAATGACACAACAAGCATGTATATGTGTGTACACACTTTTCACAAATTAGTACAAAACTTTAAAATAACAGGTGCAGCGGGCATAAAAATTGACTGTTAGGCCACAAAAGAAATATTAACCAATTCCAAAAAGTGGGGCTCACACATGTATTTCCTTTTTGTTTATCCTGCCTGGGTTTGTGGGGCTTCTTGAATCTGGATGGATTGGTGAGTTTCATTAGTTCTGGAAAAAATTACACTATTATTTCTTCAGATACTGCCTTTATTCTCTTTCCTCTCTTTCTGGGACTCTGATTAAATACTTTTTCAGATCTTTTTACTTTTTTTTCATGTTTCTTAATCTTGTCTGTGTTGTCTGTCGTTTTCTTTGCTTAATGCATTAATGGATGATTTCTTCCAATCTATTCTCTAGTGCGTGAAGTGTTTTTTTAGGTCCAGTCTGCTGCTAAATATGTCCACTGAGCTTTTAAATTTGCCTTTTGTGTTTTCCATTTCCAGAAGTAGTGTTTGTTCTTTTTTCATACTCGATATGTCATTTTTAAAAAAGATTTTTATACCCTGAAGATATTTTTCAGGTTGTCATATTTTTTTAAACAGATAAGCATTATTTTAAATCTGTGTCCAATAATTCTAGTAGCTGGTCTGTGAGGGATGTTTCTATTGGTTGTTGTACATGTCCTTTTATTTCTTTATGTGCTTGGTTATCTATACTTGTTTCTTGATTGTCATTATTGAATTATTTGTAGGATTCTCCAAGGCTTAAGGTCGATTTGTCTACCTCTGCCCAATCTTCTTTAGGGCTGGTTTCAACAGCTTCTCTAGAATGATTTTCTTCTACCTTAATTTTCATTTTTTCTTATTTTGACCTCTCCATAGTTTGTTCTCATTCTGAGACTAAAAGAGCCCTTTGGGGAGGCCGGGTCTCAGCTTAACATGGGGATGCTCTCCCCTAAGACTCTTTACCTTGAGCTGATCCCGGGCTTTGAGAGCTGTCTCTCTTCCCCCATTTTGTTCTTCTCTCCTTGTTTATTGTTACTCAGACTTTCCACTTTTCTCTCTGGTATTTGACTCATTCAGAAATTGGCTTGGGACTTCTTTACTGCAGATCATTATTGTTTTTAAGATGTTGGTTTAAAAATAAAGTTTTATATAGTATTTTTCATTGTCTATAGCAAGAGGGAAAGTTAGAGCTGCAAGTGCTTTTATTAGAAACAAAGAACAAAAATAAATGAACTTATTTCCAGATTAAGAAACCAGAAAAACAAAACAAAACATTGTGACAGTTAAAGATAAAGATTTAGCAGAATTAAGTGAAATAGAAGAAAAGTAGTATTTTTATAAAGGTTATAGCTGGTTCTCTGAAAAGACCAATAAAATAAACTCTTGACAAGTCTGATCAGAATGTAAAGAGAAGACACATGTAAATACATTAGGAATAAAAGTGGGAAGATACTACACATGTGAAAGAAATTGATTAAACTAGAGACTGTAAGCCATCTTAATTAGTAGTTTGGCAATTTATTGCCAAGTTAACATTATTAAAAATACCTTACACATTAAAAATGCATCTCCATTCCAACTTTTAATGAAATCTTTAGATAAGTTAAGGCTAATAAGATTTTGTATATTTGCCATTTGTGTTTAGAGTAAATTTGTACATTTTATATTGTCTAGAAAATTTTAATTCCTCCTAACAGAAATGTAGTTTCACAAACACGTTAAGATTAAAAAGCTAGTATTTATAACTTTTAAGTTGTTAGAAAAAGAGATATTTGGAGGGTAAATCATTATAAACTAATTTATCCTGTTCTCCTGTATTGGTGTTTTTCCCCAATTACATAGCAGTTGTTTTCCAACAAAGCTGACTTTGAAGCCTAGTGGGATTATATTTTCATAAAAAAACCCAGACTAACATAGAAAAAAGACTTACGATAACCAGGGTCATATACTCAGCGTTGTGCTGCATCAATGATATACCTGATGAGAGTTTGTATTACAATGTAATTTTTGGTGTGTGTTTATGCATTTTTTGCTTTTACATTACTTTGCATCATCTTTTATTGGGATTTTACAATGTCAGAGAATGTTAGCAAAGGAAAAAACCTTTGAGCGGTTGTCAAATCCATATCCACAGAAGAAATCGAGTCTCAGAAAAGTTACGTTAATATTTCTCAAACTATCTCTGATGAAGAACCAGATTTGCAACTGTAACCCTTCCCCCAGTATGTTGAAGACTAATACAAGGTTTTATTATGCATGCCTAGTACCAAGCCTTTGTCATGTGATTCACTACCTAAGTTTGATAACAACCATACTGATAAATATCTCATCTGCAGAGTCCACTTATGATGTACGTGCATGTGTGGCAGTGTTACGTTGCTATAAAAGTTTCCAAATACTTATTTTCAGTTTTTACATTTTTCTTATCGTGGACTGGTAAATTAAACTCTTGCTAAATTACTGACAGTGCATGGACCTCACTTTGAAATGGAAGTAGGAGCAATCCATGTGTTTGGTGCATTCAGAGAGAGGATTATCATCACTATAGATGGTAGTGCAGGGCAACAGTTTTCAGATGAACTTCATAACACTCTAAAAAAAGCTACCCAGGCATCCTGTGCAAATGAAAACTTTAAGTGATCTTTTAGAAAGGTATTTTACTTGGTTTGTATGTAGTTCAGTTTTATACTTTATAGTTTTACGGGTTTAAAATTATTCAAGCAGATAGGTTAAAATTTGAAAGGAGAATAATATAGGTATACAAAGGTGAGTGGAGAAGAGAGTGAAAATTTAAATGGGGGAAGATTACCTCATTGATTGAAGTATTGAACTTATTGTAATATAGCTTTAACCATTTTGTTTCCTAAAAATGCAAGAATATTTTGAAATAAGGTTTATTAAAAAGAAAATTAGCAGCACTAAATTTCCATTTTTAGAGAGTAGCTTGGTGTTCATTTGGCACATATTTATGGAGTTCCTAAAATGTCTGAGGCTAACTTTATATTTGAAAGTCCATAGACCATGTGAAAGTCAGCTAAATTACTGACTTTTATATATGGTCAGCTGTTTTCTATGCCTCCTACTCAAATAGGACCAATTAGCTAGAAGATTCAGATGTTTTAATGTGGGAATAGAATGGTATAGGTGCTTAATATCCTGTAGGACCACTAAAAGTTATGCCTGAGTATTTAAGAACAGGGCTTTTTGGAGACCTTATGATATTATTAATAGAAATTGAGCAACATAGAGGGAAATCTCACTTTCTTAATTGTCTTCAGTATTAATGTGTGTTCACAAATTTGAGGTTTTTTATTTTTTCATTTTTATTTGTATATGAGAAGATGAAAGTAACTTTATGTTAAAGGCATAGCAAGGTTTCAGGCTTTTGGCTGTTCCCGCTGCTCTTCCCTGTTCCCACTTTTTTTCCTGATGGCACCATTTCTGTTGGTCCCCACTCCTGTATTCTGATAGGCACCATTACCCAATCAGTTGCAGTTCCTGTTTTTGAGATTTCTTCGTATCCAGTTTTAGACATTATTGTATTTAATGTCTTCCATCTTTCATTTATTGTAACTATTTTTATTAGTAGTATTATTGACTGATTTAGCAAATGTTAATTTGTGGGACACAATTTTAATCACTTTACAAATGTATCATCTTTTTAAATTCTCTCACAGAAGCCCTCTGAATAAAGTACTGTGATTCCCATTTTACAAAAGAGGAAACTGAGGCAGACAGGTCATATAATTTAGTTCAGGTCTTTCAGAGAGTAAAGATTGAGCCAAGATTTAAAGCCAGGCAGTATGAGTCCACAGCTCTTATTCAGGCCACCAGAAGCCTTGACATTAGCAGTAGGACTAAAAACAGTCTTGTAATGAAGAGAAAGTATAAAAATTACAGTAGTGTAATTGCTAATGTTTGTTGAGGGATTACTGTATGCCAGCCATAATAATAATTGTTTCATGAGTGTTATTTTATCTTTATAGCGGCCTTTAAGATTATTTTCATTTTACATATGAGGATACTGAGGCATAGAGTTTAACTTACCTAAGACCACATGGCTAGTAAGTGTTGAAATTAAATTCAGACTCCTGAGCCAGAGTATCTGTGTGTTTTATTTATTTCGCCTTCTGTGTCCCTCTTTGACTGGGAATGTGTTAAAAAAACAAGTACTTCATTAATTCCTTAGCACATCTCCTTCATTAAATATTTGTTGATTGTAATACTTAAACCCATATTTAGATGAGAGAACTTATATTCTGCCTATTACACAGCACCTTAGAAGTTTAATTTTCTTGTTAAGACCCTTTGGTGGTGGTTTAAGTTTTGTGCTAAAAGTAGTCTGTATAAGCTCTAAAAAATGAGTATTTAAAAAAATTTTATTTAATATTTAACTTTTATTAAATGAAAAATATATTTAAGCAATTAAAAGATTTAGAAAAAGGAAGATGTAAGAACCACCCACCCATCATCCAGAATATTTTTATTCGTACAGTTTTTCTATGTAATAGTAACTTCTGTGTTTGTTTTATGCTTAAAGCCATATCCAGAAGACCCAGCAGTTTATAAACCACTCTCCCAGGAAGAACTGCAGAGGATAAAGAATGAGAAAAAACAGAAACAAAATGAGAGAAAACAGAAAATATCAGAAAATCGCAAACATTTGGCTAGTGTACGTGTCGTACAAAAAAACCTCGTCTTTGTTGTAGGTCTGTCTCAGCGCCTAGCAGACCCAGAGGTAAGTCCTCTTCTGTTTCTTTCTCAACTTCACATTTTCTTCCTGTCGCTTATTTGGAAATAACAGTTGGCCCTACCCAACTGCAGGATTCCCTGGAAAATATTAAAACTTAGGAGAAAATGGGAAATGATTTTTTAATAATCACTAGGAAACCAATGGCCAATTGTGATCTTAGACAAGGGTCTTAATCTTTTCTGGTCTCATTTTCTTCAGCTTTAAAACTAGGCAGTTGAACTTGATCTCTAAAGTCCCCTTTAGTGCTAATAATCTGTGATCATTGGATAATGGTTCTAACATGTGACATGACTGCTTTCTTTCCTTTTTTCTGTACCTGTAAAGGACCAACAGTTGGGGATGCAGTTATATGAACCTACTAGGGATCTATACTTTTTAAAATCCTGCCCAAGTAGTAATTGTTGGTTATAGAATAGTTACAGAGCTGTTCCTATACTACATCATCATTCTTTACTCATTTATTTTAAGCTAGTTTTGGGGAAAGGGAGACTCTGATGAAGGGAAATAATGAACCAGGTTCTTTGTCATTTGATAGGTGTCATTTGTAACTCTTTTGTGTATTACATCTTTTGTCTCCTTTCACCCCTGGCCTTATTAGAGTAATGTTGAACTCATAACTTGCTCTGATGCCTTTGGATGCACATCTGCTAATTTTTAGTTTCTGATATACCAGGAGGTGCTGACTAGATTAATGGGAATGCAGATAGAAATTGATTGACTGCCAGAGTGCATACTTCAGTAGGAGAGAGCTGGAGCTAGGGGATCTGCTGAAAGTACCCCTTGGGAAAGGTTTGAAGTAAGCACGTCATGGTACCAGTGAGAGGATTATAGTGAATATACTTACAAAGGTGGGATTCATCGGACTTGGCTAAGTGGGTTGAAGGCCCCAGAAGGAGGAAATTTAAGGAGTCTAAAGTTTGATTTTATAAAATTCAGTTTAAAGAGAATAACAAATATTTATTGATGATGAGTTTACTATGTATTGAGATTATGAAGGGCTTCAAGATCAGTAGCAGAGAAAGTCAGGTAGACTTGGCAGTAAATACGGCAGCAACTCAAGAATTACTGGGACCTAGGTCCAGGGATGCTGGCATTAGGGGGTTACATGATTTTCAAGAAACCGGGTTCTTTTCAAAGCCAGATGAGTGAGTCTAGAGTTCATAAGGAAAAGACTTCTTTAATGAGAGATGTTAAGGACCGAGTGCATGATAGGCCTATGATTCAGCCTCAGCAGCCAATTCATCCCTTTTTCCAAGCTAGTACTTAACTCCCCAGGCAGGCAGAATCCCACATCACCCTTGACCATTTTCTTGAATACAGCTTTGCACAACCCTTCTATTTCCCTCTTTCACCTTTGCGCTTTTTCTAACCAGAGGGCAATTCTTGCCTCTACAAGTTTTTTATTCATCTGCCTCTGTTTACTCCTACTGATCTCATCGATTAGAATCTACTTTTGCATTTCTGAAACTGCTGCTCCAGTAAACTAATGGGGCTTTTATCTTGATTTGAGAACTCTTAGATATGAATGCACTTGATTTTGTTAACACATCCTTGATGCTATAGAACTGGAGGCATATGGAGCAGCACCCGAAGACTGGGTAAAATCAATCCATCGTCTCAATCTGAAGTTTGGATTATAGGTTTTCTTCCTCTTCTTTAGAATCTGTGATTTATTTTATTTACAGTATTCTCTCCTTACCTTCTGTGGGGAATATGTTCCAAGGCCCTCAGTGGATGCCTGAAATCGAGGATAGTACCAAACCCTATATATACTATGCTTTTTTCTGTACATACTGTTTTTTTCTATACATATATACCTATGATAAACTTTATAAATTAGGCAAGAGATTAACAACAATAACCAATAAGAAAATAGAATAATTATAATAATATAGTGTAATAAAAGTTATGTGAATGTGGTCTCACTCTCAAAATATCTTATTGTACTGTACTCACTCTTGTGATGATGTAAGATGATGAAATGCCTGTATGACGAGATGAAATGAGGTGAATGATGAAGGCATTATGACTTAGCTTTAGGCTACTGTTGACCTTCTGATGACATTAGAAGGAGAATCATCTACTTTGGGTGATCCTGGATTATTGAGTCTCCATGATGTTGATGGTTGGATGTCAGAAGCAGACAGTGTCAGTGGTTGGGGAAATTTAATATTTTCAGGTCGCGGTTTACCTCAGGTAACTGAATCCACAGAAAGTGAAACTGCAGATGAGCGAGGACTACTGTACTTATACAGATTTCTTGTTTCCACTTCAAATAACATGACTTAAGAATTATTATACAGAAAAATTAATCTTGGTGGTGACTAGTGAGAGATAACAATTTATTGGAGTCTAAATGTACCCTAAAACCGACTCTACTGGTTTTATACTTTTGCAATAATTATAATGAATTTTCTTAAACATTGGTTTTTCTCTTTTATTTCTCTTGAAAGCCTAAGAAGACCAGAGGCCAGTATTTTATTGATTATATATTACCACTTCTAAATAGTAATATCTTTAAAAACTCTCTTAATTTGTCTGCATAACATTTTCAGTTTGGAAAACTGAAAGTTGACTTCCTAAGAAAACTTGAAATTGTTAGTGTAATTTCAAGTCAAAGAAGATCCCTATTATTTACTTATCTTTGGATGATTAACAAAGCAGGAACGTTTAGGACAATTTAAAACTTGTTTTGAAAATCATTTTTGTTCATTAGAAAACTTCATATCAAGATTGATTGTCAAATGTATCATTTATTGATCAGTAGAAAAAACTACCTCAGAAGATATGGATGATAATTATAGGTAATGATTAGAGGTAATGATGATCTTCTAAGTTGTAAAATTTTAGATTTGTTGAAACCTAATTCATTCATTCTATTTTAAATAAACTCTTGAATACTTACCACGTGTCAGGTACTTTGATGTTGGAGATAAGTAGTTTAGCAAGCCAATCACAGTCTCTCCCCTTAACAAGCTTACAGGGACTAGAGGGTAAGACAGAATTTAAGAACTTGTAAGTTGCTGAGTATTTATAAACAGAGAACTACAGGGCTCTTCCGGAACATATAACACTGAGGAACTTAGCTAGTGTAGAGATTCATGAAAAGCCTCCCTGAGGAGAGGATGATTAAGAATGACTAGGGATTAGGTAGGCAGCAAATAAGGACAAGAATGTCCCAGGTGTGTGGTGGCCTGAGAGATCAGCTTGTTTGAGGAACTAAAAGACTTTAAATACACAACCATTTCACTTACAAATGAGAAACTGAGGCACAGGGAAGATGATTGACTTGCCTGTGATCACACAGTTGTTTTATAGCAGAGCCAGGACTAGAACAATCCCCCAAACACACCCTGGATACCCCCCACCCCCAACCCATATTAAAACTCCTATTCCAGTGTATTTTACACTGAAGATTAGTCTGTTTACATCCACCCACTCATCCATCCACCCATCCATCCATCCATTCATTAATTCATTCATCTTTCCAATTCTTTACCAACTGTTGGATTTTTTCTGTCGTGTCCATGAACATTTGACCATGTTCTCAATATAGCAAGACATTTTATGTATTAGGCATGCCATTGGGCATTTATAATTCTGTCACATGGCCTTTTATATTCTGTGTTAGTACTAAAACTGGCTCACTGTAAAGTAAATATATGATATTGAATATGTGGATAATATATATGGTGATGTGCAGGGTGCTCCGCCGCCTCCCATACTTAACTTTCTATTCACTATAATATTATTTTGCTAGTTGACTGCTATGTTTAGGCAGAATCTGTAGTGTTCAACTTAATACGTTTAAATTATTTGAATTTCCCTTGCCTGGGCAGGCCATTTTTTATCAGGTACAGGCCATTTGCTCATACATTGCAGCCCATCCGTATTCTCTATCCATGTAATTTTTTGTTCAATGCTAAGACAGTTCAATTTCTCAGTAGCATTTATTGAGTTTCAGTAGTGTGCCAGGCACTTTGTAAGACACTGAGCACACACCAATAAAAGTAGTCCTTGCTTATTTACAAAAGTAACAGTACAGTATGAGAAGTGCTGTGTGCTTTGGAGGCACAGAGATAGCACTTGACCTTCAGCGGGGAGGTTATGTACCCCTGTTATCATTTGGGTAAAGTGCTCCTGACACAGAACTATACAAATGCTTCTGGATGAGAAAGAGCTTGGTCAGCAAGTGATTTGTTGGGCTGGAAGAATGCAATGCTGAGAGATGAGGCTGGCAAGGTAAGTGGTAACAGATTATGAAGGGCTTTGTAACCATGCTAAAGAGTCTGCACTTCATCCTCAGGGCAGTGGGAAGTTGTTGAGTGTTGTTAAGAATAGAGTGACATGGCTAGTTTTCTACTCTGAAAATATCATTCTGGCTGCACTGTGACACGTCAGTGTAATTGTATACAAATCTTACATTATTACGAAGGCGCTCTACCCCAATATTGGCCAGAAACTATTTCCATAAGTTAGTGGTCTTCAACCTTATCAGACCCAATACCCAGTAATATTTTGTAACACCCTTTGACTTTCATGAAATGACTTCTTGATAATATAATGTCAATATACACACTTTGCAAAAAATCTAAGGGAGAAATTAAAGGAGAATAATTATAAAAGGGTATTTCTAATTGTAAATACTTGGGGACTGCTACTCTGGAACCTGTTATTCAAGGTTTGGTCTCTGGGCCGGTAACATTAGTATTACCTGGGATTTTATTATGCAAACTCTCAGGTCCTGCATCAGAACTGCTGTATCCAAATCTGCATTTTGACTAGATCCTCAAGTGATTTGTACGTGTATTCAAGTTTGTGAAGTACTGTTTTTCAGTACATAATAAAAGAGTAAGATGCTTACATCTGTTTGTAGAATCACTGTGAATGTGGCAACTACAGATGCAGATTACACGTGTTATGGTTACACGTGTATGTATTGGCAACTCAGATGCCATGAAATGTCAGTGACAGAATTTTTCTGAAACAACTCTTAGTAAAATTCCAAACAGCATTTGTAGTCTTCCTTTAATTACATATTATTTGCTTTCTTGTAAATTCAAAGTATGTAAAAACTGAGGACCTGCTTTGTGTTTATTATAAATAATATGGAATTTCTTCATTATAAACAGTCTTCTCAGTTACACGAATGTCTTGTAGGACATCGAAAAGTTGTGCAGGACAATCCTTTGTTGTGCAGGGCTAGTCCGAGCATTCTAAGGCATCCCTGGCTCCCATTCACTAACCATCAGTAATGTGTCTCTGTCACTTTGACAACCTCTCCTAGTAAAAGCTCCCACAGATTTCCAAAATGTCCCCTTGCATGCTGCCTTCATTGAGAGCTACTGCTGTACACTCAGAAGTGATATGAGATGCCTGTGCAGCACAAATTGTGACCAGCCAGCACCCTTTAAAGCGGGCATTTTGGCTGTGAGGCCTTTCGCTGAGTTTGTATATATTCAGTTGGAATATTGAATGCAGTTCCACATTCCACCTGCAGATAAACATCACAATATACAATCTACTCCTCAACCTTGAGACTTTGCTGTGAACAACGCAAGGGCCATTGCCTTCGCCACTGTTACTGTCATATCCCCCAGGGGATTTGGTAGAAAAATGATTGGAAAATCAGTGTAATCACTTCACCTTCTAATTCATTAAAATTGGCTGTAGAAGTCGTCAGTATTCTTACGTGATACAAAACACTGTAGATGTTATATGTGTTACTAACACTATCAAAAAATGGAAAGATAATTGAAAAAGAAATTTGTATTTATAGGTATGATTAATGCATCGATGACAAAAGAAGCAACAATATGATATTATGGTAGTCTGGTGTAAGCGATAAGATTGCTTATTGGTAGCCTAGCCTATAGAGAATGAATCGCTAAAAACTTTTTATGGCATACAGTATTATAGTCATAATATAGTATTGGAAATATTGTTAACATTTTTAAAAACCACACGTGATGATAGGCTGATACGCAATGCAGTTTCTCCAATTATGAGAGACATACTAAAGCAAAGTTATCAAACAGTCAGAAAACACACTGTTAATTTTATATTAAATATCACTTTCTGCCTATATAAGGAGAGGCTTTCCACTTCCATACAAGTCTTGTACATGATTTTCTGCATGGCAACTACTTAGACAGTGATGGTGATGATCATGATAGAAACGTCTCATACAGTTCTTGCTGTACAGTTATTAGAATTTCACACAAACACACAACCGGTAAGTGTATTAATTGTACAGTATGAAGATTATTTACTATTCATGAAATGGAAGAAGATCATCATAAAGATCTTCATCCTCATCATGTTCACACAGAACAGGCTGATGAGGAGGAGGAAGAAGAGGGCTTGGTCTTGCTGTCGCTGGTGGCAGAGGCAGAAGAGGTAAGGGGAGGCAGGAGAGGCAGACTCATGTAGGATAACTTTATGGAAATACATCACAGTTTCTCTCTGACTTTTTGTTTTTTCTTTCCTTTAAAAGTGTTTCTGTATGGTACCAGACCTTCTTCCACTGTTTGCTTTGGTTTCAGTGCCCGTGTCATAGAAGGGTCCATGTTGTAAAAGAAGCCAAAGCAGTCTTGAATAACTGGAACCCTTCTGCCAGATTGTCTAATGTCAGTTTGTTTTCTGGCAATGCTTTTATGTCTTCTTCTTAATTGTCTAGCACGATTTGGAAGCACTGATCTGCATCAAGTTGTCTTCTGTTAATTCCTCTGGTGTGATGTCTGTTCTTAAATTTCTCCAAGATCCATAGATCCATATCTTGAAACTCTTCAGTCCCTATTGTTTCTGTCATATCCACGATCTCTCTAATTTTATTTATCGGCTCTGTTGTAAATTCTGTGAAAGCACAATGCCTGGACACAGTTTTCTCCAGCAGAAATTTATTGTTTTGGGTTTAATGGCTTTCATTGTTTTTTTCTGTAAGAATGATGGTCTCTTTGATGGTATCATCTTCCTCGACTTTTATGATGTTCTCTTTGTCAGGCTTCTCTTTCCTGGTGTTGACAGCCCTTTCCATAGAAAGCCTTAAAGGTCCCCATGACCCCATATTCTAGAGGCTGAATTAAGAGACGTTGTGTTGGGGACAAGTAAACCACATTGATCCCTTCGTTGTTGAACTCATGGGGTTCTGGGTGGCCGAGGGGCATTGTTCAGTATCAGAAGAACTTTAAAAGGCAGTCCTTTACTGGCAAGGTACTTCCTGACTTCGGGAAGAAAACGTTGATGGAATCAATCCAGAAAAAGTGTTCTCATTATCCACACTGGCAGCTGGTGTTCATCTTTTCCCTTCAAGGCTCAGGGGATTAGCAGCTTTATAGATAAAGACAGGCTCGATCATAAACTCTACTGCATTTGTACAAAATGGTAGAGTTAGCATATCCCTTTTTGCTTTAAATCCGGGTGCTTGCTTCTCTGCCTTACTAATAAATGTCTGTTGTGGCATTCGCGCCCCCCTCCCCCCACACCAGAATAGGGCACTTTTATGTATTAAAAAACTTGTTCAGGCAGATATCCATTCTCCTCAGTGATTTTCTTAATGGTATCTGGGACCTCTTGGTCTGCAGAAGCTGCTTCTCCTGTTATGTTGATATTTTAAAGCCAAACCTCTTTCTAAAATTATCTTAACATCCTTTGCTGGCATTAAATTCTCCAGCTTTAGCTCCTTCATCTTTCTTTTGCCTTAAGTTGTCATATAATGACTTTGCTTTTTCTCGAATCATATTAGAGTCTATAGGTGTGCCTCTTTTATAGCAATCCTGTACCCGCACAAAAGCTGCATTTCCAGAAGTCCAAGGTTTTAGTGCCCTCTGGTGTAGCTGCAGCTAGGGCTTCACAAATTTTCTTTTTCACAGTGGTCGTTACGCTTGATTCATTTATCTTGAAATGGTGGGCATCCGCAGCTGTAGACCTCAACCTATGATACATATGATACACTTCAACTTTTTCTTGTTATGTCATGACTTTTCTCTGCTTCTTGGGAGCACTTCTAGCATCACTAGTGGAACTTCATATGAGTGCCATGATGTTATTCAGAGTTTACGATATTACACTAAACACAATGAAAAATCCACGAGAACCTGGAGAGCTTACTTTTTACTGTGATACTCAATTTACTGGAGAGACAACTGCTCACACAGGATGATTAACATCACACAACATTTTAAGCAGATACTCATAATACTTGAGCTCACCGCAGTAGCAACAGGAGGTGACTGAAATTATTACAGTAGTACAGTAAGTACAGTTAATTTTATGCAGTTATGATTTAATACATATCTTTCAACTTCGAATTGCACTGCGTGATCTTTGAGTTTTGAAAATTTTTAACTTTTTATGAGATTTGTATATTTTATGGTAGTAAATAAAAGACTAGTATTTACATATATTTTATGTATTCATGATATACCTAATTTTTTCTTAATTCTTGTTATTTCTAAGCTATGTGATTCATCTGTGCGTTTTTTCATTGTCACAAATTTTCAAAAATTTTTCCAATATATTTATTGAAAAAAATTCATGTATAAGTGGACCCGCACAGTTCAAACTGCTTTTTGTTCAAGTGTTTCAGATGTATATTAATTATGTTTCAAAATGTTAAAAGTTAATGACATTCCAGCCATATACTGTGTTACAAAGCTTTGATTCAGTTCAATGCAGAACATACCTAAACTTGGCTAATTTGCTAATGTATACCTTAATAAAAAAAAATTCTTCCATGATTTGCAACTACCTCAATTATATTCTGTTTTAACTATAGACTTACTGTTCCTACAGTCTCTCCAAACAGCAAACTCTCTTTCATTGAAAGTTTTCTACGTGTGCATGTTCATGTGTATGCAAAGTATTCTTTCCAAACACTCGATAATATTTTCTCACACAGCTTAGCCAGTAAGTTTGTAAAAGAAGCTAAACGAGTACATGTAATGACAAAATAAAGGAGGTAACACAAGTATGAGTGGAAATAACTGCAGAAATAACCTAGGTAATAGAGAAAGAAGTGTATACATTTTGTTTTTCAACTGTTTTTTTCCCACCTATCACCTCACATTATTTACTAAGAAAAGAGAGAAAAAGTAAAGGGACAGTTGAGAAATGATAAAATTGATTGACATGATGAAAATAACTATGTTTTTATACATATAAAAAATATATAGACACAGTGATAAATCCTAGGGCATTAACAGTTGAACATTCTGTTACCATATTTAGAATTTGTAGCCATAAACAGTGCATTACTATATCAGATGTTATATACAATAGATTTAAGAGTAAAGACTCTCTACTTATGTCCTTCCTTGAATTTCTGTCTCTGCCTTTAAGACATAATTTTGGTCATTGTTTTGAGAAATACTTTCTTATAAGGATCATCTGTTAATGAAAACGTGGTCAGAATATTTGATCTTCTTCTTTTGTGTTTAAGAATACTCTGGAGATGATACCATAGATTATTGGTGCAAATATATTAGAGCATAGTAGATAATACCAAGTATGGTGAAACTCAGTTTCTATTTACTGAGTCAATAAAGAACAGCTTTTAGGTTCTGTTGATGATTTCCTATAGGTTGACCACAAATAGTAATTAGGAGATAGTCACATTTATTAGAAAATTTTAGAAATTATTTTTCTTTCACTGAAGAGGGATAATGTATGTCCATTATAAGGATTAAATGGGTTGATGAAAATGGGTACAGTTTATGCCTTATTTCTTCTTCTTTTATAGGTTTTAAAACGACCAGAATATTTTGGGAAGTTTGGTAAAATCCATAAAGTTGTCATCAATAATAGCACATCATATGCAGGCTCACAGGTAACTAATTATAAGGATTTTTATCTTTTCTCCCTATGGTCTGGATTTGACCTGGGCTGAAAATTTATTTTCTGTGATTAGAAAGCTTGAGAGTCAAGGACTTCAGTACTGTAGTGACCTCTGTTGGTGGGGTGGGGAAATTTTTGGTGCTCATTCAACTTTCCAGGACTCAGCAGTGAATTGATAGTAATAAGAGGGATATAAAAATAAAAAAAAAAAAGATTTAGTGGTGGATTGAAGGGGAGGGAAAGTTGAGTCTGTTGTTAGGCAGTCTAATAATTCGTTAATAACTTTCAATTAAAATTATTTTCAGATATTTAAAACTTAATAGAGCATCTTTGTTATGCTGATATTAGCACAGAGACTATTCTTGAAGATTGCATTTGTTTTGGGGAGAATATAATTTGACACAGTGTCTTCAAATATTAGTTTTTAAAATCTAACTTTCAAAGTTTGGTTTTTGTAACCTTGACGAGCCTGTCAAATGGCTTTTTAAAAAAACAAATGCTGAGCCAAAGATAATACTTTATTTTTATTCATATACATTTTAATTTACTTAAACTCAGATAAAATTCATTATGATTGTTTTAAAATGAGCTAGTATATGGTTTAATTAAAGCTATTACAACTTCTAATTATTGTGATTATTAATGATAGTAGTAGTAAAGACCTTTAGAATTCCCTAGGCAGATTTCAAGATAATTTTTTTAAACGTATTTGTTGAATTAGATACTAATAACAGTGAGTTTTCGCTCTAGGGTCCAAGCGCCAGTGCTTATGTAACCTATATCCGGTCAGAAGATGCTCTCAGAGCCATACAGTGTGTCAACAATGTGGTGGTAGATGGCAGAACACTTAAGGTAAAATGGTCGTCTTCATCGTTTTTTTTTTTTTTAAAGGGGAAGGGATAAAATGTAGTAAGTAGAGGACTATGTAGCATTTACATATTACATTTGAAGAGAGTCTGTTTGAAGATTGCTTCTTAGGTATCCATCCCAACCTATGACAGCTAATTTGTTTACTGCTGACTTATGTAAGGTTCTGTTTTGCCGGGTAGGATTACACAGTTTCATTATTAGGGGATAATCTTTTAAATTTCCTATAGTTACACATTTTATATTGCGAAAATGAATCTGTTATTATCAGAAGTAGATAATGGTTTTTACTTGTTGTCCTGAAATATTTGGACATTGATCAGTTCAGGTTTGAGTGAAGGGTTCCACCAAGCAGTGCTTTATGTAGATGGAAGAAGAATAGCATAATTAGAAAAAGGAATTTGCCTTCTTATGTGCCTAACCACTTATAGGTAACATAGAACGGATTTTGTCTGTCTTCTCTTCTGATTGCTAGAGAAGAAGATTTGGATGCTCAAGTCCTGAAAACATGGATTGAGATGTTTTCTTTAGTTTTTCCAAATGAGCACCATCTTTAATAAATCCTGTTAGTAATAGTTTAGTTCTCTAGTATCAAAGCCAGACTTCTTGTTTTGTTCTGTCTATGTCTTATTTTGGGTGAAATGAAAGCACAAAACATTCTCATTGTCATTTCACATTTTGAGTCCTTTTTACTCCCTCCCCTCCTCTTCCTGCAGGCATCTCTAGGTACAACAAAATACTGCAGTTACTTCTTAAAGAATATGCAGTGTCCAAAGCCTGACTGCATGTATCTACATGAATTGGGAGACGAGGCGGCCAGCTTCACAAAAGAGGAAATGCAGGTAGTAATATGAATTATCAAATTTGCAGAAAAAGGAGAATTTTTCTTTTTAAATTAAAATTACAAAGGCAAAAACTAGGGATTTTTTTTTTAAAACTAGCATTACTTTAAAGTGGCATTTTCCAAATAATATTCGTTGGAATGTTCATTATATAGGATATCGTTATAATAAAAATGGGTCTGTGGTCCACTAAGCTTGAAAATACTAGATTAATGATGATAAGTAGATTTCTTTCCTGTGGGACTTCTCAGTCTTTAATATGCTAATACCTATTGCAGATGGGAATGTACAACCAGAACTTTACTGACCAACGAAAGCATTTTGGGAAATGCTATTTTAGGGAGCATGTCAACAAAATGAAAGCTAAGTGTAGTTATGGGTTGTGGTTTTTCCTCCAATCTCTCCTTTTTACCGAGCATGCTAGAAAATAATATTCTATCAAATGTTGCTGATAAGCTCATATTATTTTTATAAAATGATTCTCCCCATGAAAGTGTCCTGTAAAGGGTAAATCGAAGGCTTTTAAGTTCTTTACATTTCATCTTCTCTTGTTTGTCTCCTTTCAGTTTGTAGTATAAACATGCCTTTATAAGTAAAAATGTTGACCATACGGCATAGTAAATAAGGATTATACCAAAGCACAATGCTGCATTTCCCTCTTATAGATGAGGACTTCAGATTGTTGCTGTGGACTTTCACAGGAGTACTTCTCATTTAGAAGGCTGGGGGTGGGGAGAGTGGGGCGGGGCATTGATTGCTACCTTTCTCCAGGTCAAACTGGCGAAAGTCTAGTAGGGGGTTCTTTAAGAGAAGATTGTTAAATAAAATGAAATACCTTTTTGACTTGTTGTTACTACAAATTCCCTTATAATAAATACATTGGAATTTCTTGACAGTGTTGTCTTTATCCAAAAACTGTTAAAATAAGATCTCTTTCAGATAACTTACTTATTTCTTATCCAGTGAATGCTTCTTGATTTGTTTTCTTTCTTTTTTTTTTTTTTCCTTCGGATGAGGCTTTCTTGGATGAAATCTAAGGTTAACTATTTTAAACTGAATTTTGACTAGTGGGGAGTATGCTTTACTTACAGGTACTATTACAATGAAAATCTTTAAGATTTTCTAAGCCCCAGCTTATGTCATTATTAAGTAGTATTGATTAGTAAAAGAAAATGGATGACCACTGAAACTAATATAATATTGTATGTCAACTGTAACAGGAAAACTTTTATAACATTAAAATAAAACAGATGACAATCCCTGTTTTATGAACTGCCTCTGTAAAATCATTTAGATATCAGTTTGAGCTCTTTGTGGCTAATGAAAACCATAATATTTCTTGTAGTATTGATTGCAGAAAGAATTTTCAAAGCTTTTTGTGTCTTAAAGATGTAAAATCCACATTTAACTGCATTTTTCTTAATAATTTAAAATTTATTTCATATCGTTGTCCGAATTTATTTGTTCCTCTTTACCTGAGTTTTAAATTACTTTGAAAGGAGGGTTTCTTTGTTAAAATACTTCCTCACTGTAGAAAATTTTAACAAATTATATCATGGCAAAAATCAGAAGATTTTAATTTTGTTGTTACTACATAACTCAAAATTTAGTACCCTATGAAATATGTAGGGATCCAGTCGAAGCAGTCAAGAGCCCTCTCAGAACAGGGAATGATGCATTGTACAGTAAATATGATACAGTTGTGCCTGATTAGATGATACTGCCTGCTTCTTGCATGTTTTTATTGTTTTTTATCTGTTCTGGTTTTGGTTTTCCCATAACATCCATTTAGAACATACTTTTAAAACAATTAACAACCCTGAAGGTAAGTAAAAATGTCATTCTAGTCACAATATACTTGTAAATAGTAAAAAGTTATTCAAAGTAATTCCATTGTAATTTATTTCTGTATATGACTATTTCCACAGTCTGCCTATTTTCTCCGAAAATGTTTGTGATGTTGTCTTCTGACCAACTACAGTAAATACAGACTTTTCTTTGTTGTGTAGAGAGCAGGGATTGTCATATTTTCTGTAAAAGGCCAGTTCGTAAATATTTTAGGCTTTCTGGGCCACATAGTCTCTGTAGCAACTACTCAGCTCTGCTGTTGGAGCACGAAAGCAGCCATTGACAACTCATAAATAATAGATAATTCATAAATGACAGTTCATAAATGAGTGAGTGTGACTGTTCCAGTAAAACTTTATTTACAAAAACAAAGTGGCCAAGCTGTAAATTGACAATCCCTGGTCTAGAGTTTAAAATCCATTAAATTTTATGTAGAAACATAAAAATTTTAATCTAAAAAAATAAATTGACTGATTTTCAGTGATCTTCACAAAATGTAGTAATGACCTACTACAAGACTTTTTATATGAAAGATGGAGTTTACAAGGGAGCTTCAAGTTTTTTTGAGCTAAAAAATTTTTCAATATGCTTTCTACACAGTAAAGTAGTTAATTAAGTGCTTAATGGAGTATATTAGTTTTGTTGTTTTGTTTTTTTGTTGGAAGAATTTTCATGGGTTTAGAAGTTTTGTGACACTCTCCTCACAGGTTCTCTGACATCATGAAAAACACTTACATGTTTTATTTAGGATATCTTTAATAATTCAGAAAGTAATTCAGTGTTTTCTACCGGTCATTTTGTGTACCCCACTGCAGTTTTAATTTCTTCTTTAATTAGGCAGGTAAACACCAAGAATATGAACAGAAACTACTTCAAGAATTATATAAATTAAATCCCAATTTTCTCCAACTGTCTACGGGTTCAGTTGATAAGAATAAGAACAAAGTGACGCCACTGCAGAGGTATGATACGTAAGTACCGATATTAGTATAATCAGACACCTTATCGTCATGTCATGTTTGTCGATCTTCTCTTTTTCTTCTACATCTTTTTCTGACAGAATCCTTCTTGACAATGTCTGCCATTTATGCAGTATTGTTGCACTGTATAGGAAATGTTGAGTCAGATTTCCGGGTCTGAGTATTTGTTGTCTGCTGCTCCCTGGTGACGCTTCAGATGAGTCCCTTGATGGTCCCTCTTTCTGTTGATCTGCAGACCATCCTTGTTGATGAAAAGGAAATTAAGGGATGTTGGTTCTTAAAAGGCTCTATCACCTAATTGAGATTTCCCCCCTGATATAATGAGGGGAACAAAAATACTTATTGAAGTATTGTGTGTTACGACACAGATATTCATGGTCATCTAGTCTCAGGACCTCTGAGTCTTATATCCTCTCAGTGAGTCTTATACCCTCTGAATGAGGAGGGTATCACATATTCAGAATCTTATTCATTTTAGGAGACTTGTTTTTGCATAGACCTATACTGTGTTGGTGTTTAAACAAATTTATTAAGTCTGAAATATTGAGTCTCATTCTGAAAAGGTGATCTTCACATCTTGTATTTGGTTATAGCCTGTCAGAAATGGTCTGGTTAATAAAAACAATAATTTGGGAGTTGTGCTCTATCCTGAATATTCCTTTGTAAGTTTGATGTGTTATGACCTTTTTTTTTTAATTTGGTAAGTTTAACTTTTATAAAATGAATTTATTTAAAGTAAATATCTATAATTAATTTAGGTATGTTGATTTTCTTTTTTAAAAAGTTTATTCCAAAGTTAAATTGGTTTTAAGTGATGTGATGTTTTAACTGTCTGGGTGTTATATATTATAGGCTAATGTCTATTTAGTATTAAAATAATTTAAGGGCCATTTTTCACATATAGCTAATACTAGCATGGATTGTTGTCAGTTTCTTCAAAAATATATCCTTATATTTAAATTCTTTTGAAGTCCTTGTTACGTTTCTTCGCCCTAATAGTAAAGATTATTTATAAAAATTCTTTAAATTTAAATACTTTTTGTTTATACACACACATATGTACCTATTTATATAAATACATATAGAAGAGGCCACAGCAAAATATAACATTACTGTATAATAAACTGTGAAATTTGTATATATCGAAGCTAAGAATAACAGCTAAGTCCAAAACAAATCTTTCTGAGTTGATAATCTTTTACCCTTTCTGTTGATTTTTTTTGTACCTACCCTTTTCTACCCTTGTATGTTTATTTTATTATGAACCATATGCTATTACTTAACCTCATTGGTTTTAGTGCTTCTTATAAGAATGAAGTTATTGTAGTAAAAATTTATTTCAGATGGTTTTAACATTTATACATATTGTTGTCATTTAAGATGTTATTCTAATTAAAGTCATATTCTGGGTTTATAGCCCCTAGAGAATTCAGAGCAGAAATTTAAATTTTAGATGATCTCTTTGAGATAACATTGGTTATTTCTTGAATATAAAAGTGATATATTTTTATTGAAGGAAATTTGAAAAATATATAAAATTATACAGAATTAAATATGTAATTCAGTACTCAGACATTTTTACTGAAAATGATATATTTCCTTGTCCTTTTTCTTTCTATAAATGTATGTAAATACAAAATATATTGGTTTATTACCTTTTAAAACTCAATACCCATTAATATGAATATTTTCCCATGTCATGAAAATATAATCTTTTATGGATGCTTAGTAGTTCATTATATACAAGTATTTCAAATTTTTAAACCAGTCTTCTGCTGGTGTGTGTCATTTTCATTTTGGTGCTATTATTTATAACACTGCATCATGGACATTTTCATATAAACTTTGATGTGCTTAGACATAGAACTGCTGAGTCAAAGATTATGAGTACCTAGTTCCAATTAAGTTTTCTTTTCTGCACATTTGCCAATTTGATTAAAGAAAGCTGTCTCATTTTAATTTGTATTTGATTAATAGTGAAATTTTTATGCATAGTGAATTCATACCTGTTTGCATAGTTTTATTGGTGTATTTACTTGTTGTATGCAGTATACAGATCTAACTTTCCCTAGTTAGTTGACCAGTCTATTTGTATTTCAAAGAGTACTTGAATTTATAAATCAAATTTGGAAGAATATATAATATACAATATAACATTGAGTCATCTCAGCCATTATCATGTATATCTCTCTATTTAAGTCGTTTTTGCCTCTCAGGAACAATTTTTTTGTCTTTTTTCTGTTGTATTGAATCTCCCACCACCATTTCTTCCTGTTTGAGAATCCCTAGACTTAAAATGAAAGAACAGTGTTAGAAACTGGTGCTAGCAGGCATCCATGTCCTATTCTTTACTTTTGTAGGGATGTCTCCAGTGTTTTATTGGCTGTTAAATATAATTTTGACCCTTTATTTGAGATGAGTATTTTTAATCAAAGTATGAAAATACCTTGTTATTTCTAATTTATTGAGCTTTTCTCTTCAGATTGGAAGTGAAAATTGGAATTTACCAAATGTCTTTTCGACATTTATAACAAGTATTTAGCTTTTTTTAAATTTTTTTTTGTGATCAGTTATAAATAGATTTACTAATACTTTATTGACTTTGCTCTTATATATAGTATAGTCAGAGCACATTCATAAGTATTTCAGTAGCAGGAGTTTCTTCAGAGCCACAAGTTGTCGGAGGAAGACAAAAGAGGATTTAAAACAGTTTACTCATTTATTATCTTTGTCCAAAGCCAGTGCTACTGAATCTCAGCTGGGACCAGAAAAAATTTTGACATAGTCACCTGTACTTTGCATAAGTACATGATATAGGCAGCTTTTGTGCTTACTAGTAATCAATCAAAACATTAGGTATATCCTGGAAGTTATGAGAAAATTTCAATTAAAGTCATATTTGCCAAACTACATTCTGTCTAGGTTTATTACGGCATTTTTTCTTGCCTTGTTAATGGCTAATTTTGTCATGTTACTTAAGATGTGGCCATATTTTAGTAGCAAAGTAATACTTTATTAATGTATATTTGAAGCCTGTATCAAATAAAATATGTTCTACAAAGGCAGGCTACCTGTCCATAACTTAAATATGTACTTTGTGGTAGCAGAAGTTTGTCTTAGTTCAAGACTCAGGTGAGCATGAGAAATGAAAGTGAATTCTTTTAAATGAATATGGGAATATTTAACTTAGGAGCAAAGTAAATATGTATTTGTGTGTATAGTAACATTAAACTGAAATTCGGAAATATTCGTAATATTAACATCTGAATTAAAATTTGCCTTATATCCAAAATGCAAACAAAATTACTACAGACACTGAAATTTTTTAACTTTTAAATGTAACGAACAAAGTAACTAGACCTTATCAGTGTTTTTTCTATTCCACCCCAGTCCTCAGAAAAAAGATTTTTTCTTTGACCCTTCTATGTAATTATTTGTTTTATGTTACAAATTTTAGAAAGCAGCCAAGAAACTATACCCAGAAACTATGTTGGCATCGCTACCAAGGAAGTAAAAGGAAATCAAATTAAGCACTCTCTTTTGGGCAAGTTAAAGGCAGCAAAGTTGGACAGCATCTGAAGAATCAAATAGTGACACAGCTATGTTAGACTGCTTGTTTGCAGATAGTTGCGAATTTGGTTTCTTTATAAAACAAAGTATTTAAAATTGATATTAATACTACTTCTAGCTCTAAAATGTAATAATTTCAGAGACTTTGAGGAAGCTTGATGTGATCAATGCCTTTTCACTTTGTTCCTCTTTACTTCCTCTAGTACAGTGATCATTGGATATCAGGCATCGTCTCAATTTAGATGAATTGAATTATAATCTCCAGGGATGGGGCCTGGAAATACACCTTACACTTTAATTTTATATATACATAAATATATAATTTTATATATATATAATTTTTTTGAAAAGCTCCATAGCACTAGATTCCAGTTGTTGGGTTAATTGAAAAATATTTACTCCTGAGAAATCTGTAATTTCACCGTTGGTTTCAGAACTATTTAGGGCTAGAACTTTTAAAAAATTAGACTGTTTATATGAAAATATTATATGTTTAGGAATTTTTATCTATAAGGATTTACACACACGTTTGCCTTCTGGAAATAGTATCTTGATTATGTCATGAGACCAAACTACCTATTAAAACTTTTAGTCTCACTTGAATATAGTGCTTTTCAATCAACTGCATCTTTAGGTATCTTGATTTCTTTCTCAGCATATGACTATTGTTAGTATTTGAGTGAACTATAGGGATAAGGGGTCTTCCAAATCTTAGCCTTTTCAAAGATGATTGTCAACCCGTTTTTGCCTCTCTCATTCTTTGATTTAGTTCAATTTATATTATCTGCTTTTTTTTTTTTTTGCTTTAATCCAAGAGAACCAAATTAATATGCTTCAACTTTTCATTCAATACCTTTCTAGATTTTTTTCCTTGCTAGGCAGCCTCTTCCCACTACTTTGTGCTGAGCAAATGGTTGTTAATCTTTCCTATTGTAAATGGAATGAACTGTTAGACTTTTACTTCAGAATGCAAGCTGTTGTTGTAGTGTTCCAAAAAGAGATTGATTTAAGAAAGCCTGGGCTGAGTGGCAGCTAGTGTCTGCACCTGGCTGGGAATTTTGAGCTCCGGGGTTCAGCCACCTACTGAAGCTTGCTACTTGGGGGTTGGGTCAGAAGGGCAGAAGTCAAAGGCAGGATTAAAGGCCCTTGTGCTGAAGCTCCCTCTGGTGACTGGAAGCTATGACCAGAGTCACGAAATGGAGTAGGGACTGAATTCCTAGCCAAGCTCAGACTCCAGATAGTGCAGTGGGAGATGCTGCAGAATCTTGACAGCCCATTTCAGGATCATCTGCACCAGCTCTACTCAAACAGCGCTTTGCTGATGGATATTTGGCATTACTTGGTGGTCTGGATTGAAGACTAGAACTGCCCAGGAGACTGCACTGGGCAATGATAATTCCAAGGCTAACATG